GACCAGGTAAATCTAAGAAGGGCTGAAGTACAGTAATGCCTTAAATTTAACACTCAATTTGTTGATAATTTCTCAAACTTGAGCTACAAATTTTTGAGACATGAAGTCGACATTTTTAGCTCTTGAGAATGAAATTCGACATGTGTATTGATGAAACAAGAGGCTTTCTGAGAATTCAGTGGCATTTTGTTTGAAAAAATCTGAACATAACCAAATTAATTTTTGAAACTCATTTTTCAAGTTTTTGGCATTTCATTTGCAATTTTGAGTCTCATCACTATTTTTTTTCATTATGGAGGTTTTTGCAGGTCCCAATGACTTGGTTGTTGCAATTTTTAAATTTAAAGATACTCTGAAAGTCAAAATATTTAGGCCTTTGCTAATCCATCAAAACCTGAAATTTATGTTGAAAGGTTATGATAAAAATATTGTTACAACAAATTTTTCAGTGTAACAAATATCTTTGCAAGTTCTGGCAGAAAGCCCATAGAGTAACATGTCAAACAATCTCAGAAAAAACTTCCAAAAAACCATTTATTTGAGAAACTTTTAATTGTTCCTCCAGGTAGAAGTTTCTGGGCTAGAAATTTCTGATCCCAAAATATGAAAGGCTGGTTTTTTGTAGCATTGAAGCTGTAATCAATAACAAACATGATTCCAGTGGATCTATGCAACATCCTCCCACAATCAATAGTTTGTTACATCATCCTCATATGATGAGGAGTCTGGTGCAACCGCTGATGGAGCAAACATTTTATGGCATATTTTTTTTTTAGAATATAACTCCATTATTCAAACAATGATGAAAAAATCTGAGAATATCAGAAAAGCAAGATGTAAAAGTGAACCTTGATGAGTCAAACCCCCCTAAGTTGAATTCCTCCCGAATTTTTTTAAAGTCCCTTTCTGAATTCCCTTAGAATCAATGCATTAAAAACCTCCCTACCTCAAAGTCTTTTTCTCTAAAACCTCTGTAAGTCAAATTTTCTGAGGTCTTCTGGTTATTATTTCCTTGAAATATGGAAGAGAAAATTATTTAAAAAATAATAATTTTGTGAATCTTGAAAGGAAGTGAAAAGTATAGCAAATGAACCCCTGCCTCCAAGTTCAGCAAGGTGTAAACTCATCAAGGAGCAGGTTTAGGCCCAGAATAACCTCATTAAAGATTTCCCACACTTTCTTCACTTCCCCTCACAACAATAGTGTTTGTTTCCTCAACTGAAAAACCCCTGAAAATCAAAACCTCCCTAAGTCAAATTTTTTCCTGGTCCCTAGAAATTCAACTTACAGAGGTTCAACTGCAATTGATTATTGAAAGGTCTGACGTGACCATTTTTCCAGTCATTAATTTTGAAAATCTTCTTCCAACGAACTATTCAGTATGCAACACTCTTTCTGAAATCCCCAAATTTTTGATGTAGCAATGATATTTTACTGTAATAATAAAGGGAGACTTGGATCAATTAAAGGCTGTCATTAAAAAATTACTGTTGTATC